TAGGGAGGAAGGGGGGAAAAAAAAAAAAAAAAAAGTAAAAAAGAAAACACACCAAAAAATCAAATCTGTGTGAATGCACTTAAATTTAAGGTTTTGAAACGGACTTCTTTTTCACTATCTGTGATGGTAATGCTTGCTGAAGCCCACTAACCCACGCAAGCGTCCGTAAGTGTGCTTCGTTGCCCGGAGAATCAATCCTACGACTAATTTTAAGAAGGATTTAATCCTAAAAAGAATTGGTTTCTTGGTGAGTTTAGGGAAGCCTATAAAAACCGCAACTCTTGAAAATAATTAGAAAACTTGTGCAAAAGGTTTAGGAACTAATTGGATCCCGCGGTGAGTCCGCAGAGGACAAGTTGTTCATTTGTTACGTTTGTGTAGTCTAAACTGGGCTCTGCAGCAGTGCAATAAGCCGGCGACTGCTCACAATAGGCCCAATGAAAAATAATCTCTAGCTCGGAGATGTTATCGTAAACACTTTAAAGGGTTGATCTTAGAAAGACAGAAAAGAGGAAGAAAAAGAAAAAGGGGGGGGGGGGGGGGACCCCAGGTATGTGAATAAAGAAGCAATAGCAGATCTGAATTCTTGCAGTCAGAATATTTGTCATGTTGAGAGAATAAGGGGAGGGAGAGGAAAACTTCCGAAAATAAGTAATAAAAAAACAGATGCAAGCAGATCTGCAGGAAAGAGAGAGCAGTGAAAGGTTATGGATGAGAGATGGGACACCCAGCTCCGCACTATGTGGGGGAGAAGGAGAGAAAACTCTGATATTCTTGGCTTTCACTCTCACTTCTGCAATTCAAAATTAATCATCACTATGAGAAAAAGGTTGCTTTGTTTGGGGACGAAGAGATGATACCACCATTTGGAAGCGCCTACCCTCCCCCATATTCTTAACTCTATTGTCACTTAAAGAAGTGATCGGGAAAAAAAAAAAAAAAAAAAAAAAAACAAAAAAAACCAAACCCAAAAAACCCCAAACCCTAAAAATCAAAATTCCTTGGCAACTAACCTATCGGAAATAATAAAATGAAATAGGTGTGATTTAAACTCTTGAAGCCTCGAGACCCTATTCTGTATACTTGCGCCTAAACAAATTAAAAGAATGGCATCTGCTGCAGCTGACAAAGGAAATGATTTATTATTTACCACTTGCAATTGGGTGTATACTGTAGGAAATCCAATAGCCCATACTTAAAGTATTATTTAGTTCGCGATGTAAAAAAATCCGCTGACAGCGTACTAAAAGGAGGAAAAAGACAAGTCAGGTTGGGGGAAAGCACAATCTCGCCATGTCAGAGTTTGGGGTTGGCTAATAAGCATTAATTAGATAAGCGTGATGCATAATAATTCCTGAAAAGGGTAGCCCTGATGTATGTCTCTCCAGACTTCGTTTAAGTAAGCACTCGCTCTCTGTGCTTTTCTATAGGTTCAGTATAGCAAAGTGCTGCCTAGGCAGTTCAGGTGCCACAGACTTTTCCCTTTCTCTTACACTGGGGGAAGGGGTGGTTGTTGAGCTGGTAATTTATTCACCTT